AGGGGAAAGAGCGGCTGCCAGGCGGCGCGGGGTCTCCCCGAGAAGATAACAGCGCCGCCCGAGGGACAGGAACTGCACGCCGGAGGCCACTCTCGAGGCCGACACCTGTGTACCGAACCGGTGGCTCTCAGGCGTGTGTTGCTGAAAATGATACGACGTATAATTGGCATGGGAGGACACATGTGTCTGTCTCCGCCGGCTGCGGCTATCAATTTTTTACTAACATTTGTTGAAGGGACCGATATCCACACTCAAGCTCCTTAATTATGTTTGAGCCGACAAAAGCTTCTGCGTCAGACGCTTGTGGGTAAACCGTCGTTGCCTTCCTTTCTAAGCGGCTCGGCCAACTTAGGGTAACGCGGGGCTGTGGCCACCGCCGACCTCCCGGGACGCTGCTGTCGACTCACCGTCCCAAACTCCGGACTGTGTGTCGGTCGGCATCATTTGTCTCCTGCCGTAACGTCGCCGGCAATCGCTCGAGCGGTGTCGCCGCCGTCGTCAGGGGCGCCTCTGTGCCGCTATCTCCGGGCGCCGGGGCGTCCTGTGGGGCGCCGCCGAGACGCCCACCTGGGCGCCCGATCGACCGGCGCCCGCCGCCAGATTGGCTTGCGGGCCGTGCGTAAATTGCCGGTAGCGGCGCGTTACGACTGTGTTGTGGCGCGGGCCGGTGCGGGTGGTCGCCGGCCGGCCGGCTGATCACTCTGAGCCGCCTCCGACCGTCCCCCGGTCTCCGGACTGGCGTCAACATGCGTCACTGGTGGTGTGACGGGCTTCTGCCGGCCAGGGTGGTGCGGCAGAGGTGACGGACCGCTGTGAGGGAGAACCAGCCGCCGCCCGCCGGAGAGTCCGGCGGTCGGGAGCATGGGCGTCGCCACCACTACGGACACTACGGGCAGTGTCCGTACAAGTTTTGGAAGGCCCGAAAACTTGTACGGAATGTCCGTACAAGTTTCGACGACTGCAAAGCAGTCTTTGCAAATGTCTTGAAGTAGCTGAAAACTTATCGTTATCAGTCCCCTATTTGCGGGTAAAGTTACGGTCCAAGGCCGCCCCAAAGTCAATGTCACGCAAGAGTATTTACTATTTAGGGTGTAACGAAATTATTCGGACATATATTTTTCGCCATATCTGTTCGCAATTTCTGTATTGTCCTTTGAATCGTCAAAGCGGCCTTGTGTTGACTGCCAGTAACTCAAACGTGCCGGCCGTCACCGGCGTCAATCATCCGGCCAAGATCCAGATCTGGAGCATATTCAGCTGCTTGCGATGTTCCAGCTGTGCATTGTGCCACAGAAGACCACCATCAGTGACGAGTATTACCGGAGCAACATCCTGTCAGACAAATAGTGAGAGCCGCTCAACTGGACGGCGCGGGAGGGCTCGGTTTCTAAAAGCGCACTGAATTTTGATTCTAACCACGCTGCCTTCGTGCAGGCTGAAGGGCTACATACCTATACACGGCGCACCTGGGCCGCCGCTGCTTGGGACCGCTGTCGGAGGCTGTACGTACGTCCGTAGGAGAATGAAAAGTGACGCCGGGAGAAGCTCTTATCCTTCCTTCTGGACTAACGGGATGCGGCTTGGAAATAGTTGTCATCCTAATTCCATCGAGATGTTATGGACTTTTGTCCAGCAGGAGGTGAATAAATGGACACCCGGCGTCAGGACCAATCAACTGTATGTAGGCACATGCTAATGCGGCGTCGGTCCACATGTGCTTGAAAACCAAGTAGCTGGAATGCTCCAGGCATTTCTAAATATGATCTTATGAAAGATGGCTATATCATCGTCAAAAGGAAAAAACTCAAGTTGTCTTGTTTCTTACAGCGGAAAGAAAGGTGTCCGGATAATTTCGTTACACCTTCTATAGGCTATTTCACTGATCGTCCGCCATAATAATTCTGTCACTTTTGCCATCCTGAGGCTCTAAATGTTAGAGCAAAAGAAAAAGAAAAAAATCGTGACCAGCGACTTCAAACACAGTAAACGAGACTATTCATGTGTGAAAGTCAACCAAAGACCATAATACCATTCGAGGTCACATGAGTTCAACAGAAAACTTGACCTTTTCAAACAGCCTTTATGTCATTCGACGCGTCTTGATATGACTAATGCGTTGGTACCACTGTCTAAGACCCTTTTTGTTGAAGAAATATGCAAAAACAGCCGCAGCTCGGGGTCGCTGAACTGCCATCTAACCTTCAATGTAATGTAGGTTAAAAAAATGTGTTTGTATTTTTTTCCGAAACCCCTAGGCATTCGGGGGCTACCGCAACTATTCGTCCGGAGTGGGGGGGGGGGGGAGGAGGACGAGGACGAAAAACACTCTCCGCGGGCCCGCATGGTTAACGCCTCTGACGAGTGCTACGGCTGACAGAATGTGTCCGTACAAGTTGGGGAGCCGTGGCGACGCCCCTGGTCGGGAGTGGAGCTGTCTAGCGTCGGATCGGCAGCGGCCTGGAGTGGAGAGCTGGTCAGACTGATCGCTGAGTGGTCACGCTCGGTACGAACGGGCGCCTGATGAGTCACCGGGACACACTTCGGGGTCGTTCGCTGCCCGAGAATAGCTGCCTTCGTGTGACGGCCTCTGTCGATTAAATTACTGGAGTCGTGAAATGCGCTCCGAAAAGCCGTCTTTGTCGCGGCGACGGCACTGCCATGAGAGCAATGAACTTCTTGGACGTTAACGATTCTGACTGGGCCATTAAGCAGGGCTCAGTTTGAGTCGCGGCTGGCGACAGCGGCTCGGTCCGAATGTGTCCGGCCACGGGCGCCGCCGCGGGCGCCGATGGGCGTCCGGTGGGCGCCGCCCGGATGCAAACACGGCCTGTCATTGCCGTTAGCCAGCGCGGACGTTTGTTTCGCGGCCGTCCCGCAAGACTGCACTGTTTGATTGGAGGTGCGCTAGCTTCTTACAGCGTTTATAGCTGGACGAAGTGGTGTGAAGTGCTATGGATACTTTTGCTTCGGGTGATCAGACGCGTCGGGTTAGCACCCGTTGGGCGTTAGCAAAACAAATTATGCTTTGATTGTTATACAGGCTTGTTTTATGGGACTCATTGTCCTTCATTTTATTTTATAAGCCTCATACCCGGTTTTAAGCTCAGGCACCACACTAAGTAAAGTGGATTGTGCCCGTCCCGACTGAACCCTAGTATCCGATTGCGAAATTCTTGGTAATCGCTAGGCTTTGCAGGCCAGAGTTGGGACTGCCCACGGGGCCGGGGTACGGTGACCCCGCTCACTGACCCACCAGCTACGGCAGTCCCCGCCTCTTGTGTATCGAGCGCCTATAGGTCTCACGAGGCCGGATACTCGTCACTGGAAGCCTAAAGCTCAGGCTACACTGTCAGCGTTTTTTTCGGTTTCTGCGTGATTTCGGTTTCCGCGTTTTTACGGTTTCTGCGTTTTTTCGTTCCGGGCGGCCGCCGAGTGGACGCTGTTGTTTATAACATTCTGATGGATAAGTGATCGAATTAATTAATTATTCATGTTAAATAGTATTGTATTTTAACAAAATTATAATTGAATAATTGTTTTAAAGATTTTACAACTAACCAAAATATATTTTCGATCATAATCATTTGTCAGCTTAGATACAATTTTCTGTATTATCATATTTGAAGTAAAATGAAGAGTTTTGAAACATATCTTGTCTTCTTTAATCATGAATTACACCATTTTCATCATTTACTTTTGAAACTGTTCCATCGTCACAATATTATCAGCAACAATCACTTCTAATCATTCATCACTAAAACGAAATCCCGCAGAAACCGAGAAAAAGTTCACAGCTCTGAACTTTTTTTCGGTTCCGACTCGTCGGTTTTTGCGGGTTTTCGTTCCACGGGACGCCAGACTGGCAGTGTAGCTTGCGCAATGCATTCGCTATGAGGCGAACTTGACGACGCGAACCGAAATCCTGCAGAAACCAAAAAAACGTCGGAATTCATGCTAGTGTAGCTTAGGCTTAATGCTCTATTCACTGAGCTATGGGACGAATTGATTTTTATAGATTATCCCTTCTTACATTTCTTCTCGTTACGAGGCTCTTTTCTCTGGTCTTGCTGAGTCTAATATGAACTTTTTGTGAGGTGGCAGGCTTGTTTCATACATGCTGTTGTACCGAAAAGAATGCCCAGCTCATAACGAATATGGGATTAAAATCAGCCTCCGATCCTCGCGGCAGTTCCGCGGTGCTTTTGATTTTTTTTTTAAATCCTCTCCTTGTCTGAGCTGACCCACCCCTGTTCATCTGACCCCTCCCTGTCCGCTCTAACCCCACCCTAATCATTCTGACCTTCTCACTCGGCCGAACTCTCTGGTCTGGGGCGTGACATGCACTTACGAGAATACGATGCTGTTCGCATCTTGTTAACTGCGGTTTAATAGAGCCTGATTGCGCACAAGTACCACCCATCAATACAGCGATACTAGTCGGCCCACCATGTGCCTGACAGCATAAATTACGTCCTGCGCTGGGTCCTCCCAATCGATTCTCGGCATGGCCGCTTATGAAAATGCACTCGGATGATTGACGCATTGATCAGGACGGGGCGGCGTGGGTCGAACGCCCGGGTCGCCAGTGAAGGTCGGTATTTCTCCCTGTCGTCAGCATTTTCCGTGGGGCTCACGGCCGTCCCGTTAGTTCAGTGGCGGACGGATGGCGACCAGCGGCGCTCAGATGGGCAGCTAGCATGGCGGGGCGCTCTGTGGAACCTCGTGCCGCTGGGTGATGTTGCTCAGAGGATGGTCACGGCGGCGTGGCACGGGCTACGGCTGAGACCGGGCTGATCTGGTTGGGCGAGAACGGGACGGGTGGTCTGGGATGCTCCGAAAGCCACACTTGGTTATACGAGCTGGTCATTGACTTGTACGTGATGGGGAGTGGCTATATGTGATCCGTGTGAGAAAAAAAAAACATTGTGTGCTGCGTGTATGTGCGCTGTTTACCCTATACCAACCGCGTCTGACGATTGTTGTTTGTTCCTCGCCGTCAGGTGGCCATCAAGAACAACATCGACGTGATGTACTTTGCCTGCCTGGTGCCGGCTCACGTCTTCTTCGGGGAGGACGGCATGATGGACAAGCGCGTCTTCCTGGCCACGTGGAAGGAGATCCCGGCGCAGAACGAGATGCAGTTCACCATCGCCAACCTGGCCATGACGGCAGGTGAGTGTCCCGGTCCGTGGCGGCGGAGAATTCAGAGGGTGACGTCCTGCAGAGCGCTCTCTGTTGGCCGTTTTGCTCCGACACAGATGCTGCTACTGTCGAGAGTGAAGTTGGCAACTGTTTGAGTGGCCCACTTACTGAGCGCCACAGCCACAAACCAACGGGAGGCTCCGCTAATGGTTATGCTATGCATAATGCCCGGCAAGCGTCGCGATGCTGGGTCCGGTAAATTTCATTGGTACATATTGAAGCCGTCCGGCTAAATGCCAGCGGTGAGCTGTGGTCTGTCTGTGCCGTGGTGGAGTGAGGTTTCCCCCATCGGAGTGTTATCACCCGCCGCCCGCTGTCTCAACGGACTGCGCTCCGCCCCTCTCTCTCTCTCTCTCTCTCTCTCTCTCTCTCTCTCTCTCTCTCTCTCTCTCTCTCTCTCTCTCTCTCTCTCTCTCTCTCTCTCTCTCTCTCTCTCTCTCTCTCTCTCTCTCGCTCTCTCTCTCTCACACTCTCACTCACTCACTCACTCACTCACTCACTCACTCACTCACTCACTCACTCACTCACTCACTCACTCACTCACTCTCTCTCTCTCTCTCTCTCTCTCTCTCTCTCTCTCTCTCCCTCTCTCCTTTTCCTCTCTCTCTCTCTCTCTCTCTCTCTCTCTCTCTCTCTCTCTCTCCCTCTCTCTCTCTCCCTACCTCACCGTCAGTATAGGAAATACGAGCCGTTGCCTGGTCGATCTGACCGTCCTGCGGTACACAACCTGCTCCCACTGGCCGCAGATAAACATAGAAATCGGTGGCGGCCCGCCGGCCTTCCGAGCTAGGAGTCCTTGGCCTGCTCTGAAAAAAAATAATGGCCCATACGTTCAGGTGACAAAGCAACAATGGGCTATGTCACTGCGTTTGTATTTTCATTTTTGTGACAGAAATGTGTTATCTCGTATTTCCGCCACCAGCTTATCGAATATTACTGTATTTTTGTACATTTTGATATTTTTGACTTGGTTTGAAATATTTAAAAATGCAATGGCTTTGTCATACTATTTCTTTTATTTACCAAAGGTGAACATTGCTGATAGTTGAATGTCCATCTGGTCAACTTGCATCATCTTCCTCTTTAGAGCTGTATTTATGTTCCGGAGCGTCTCCAGTCTTTTCGCCGTGCTCCTACCGTAAGATTCTGCAGCGGGTTTGTCCATGTCGTGCCGCTCCCAGCGGCGCCCGACTGCAACCACTGACCAGACGAGCCGCAGAGCCCGCCGTCGTTCTATATTTGTCCGCGCTGAGCGACTGCGGTCGTCCGCCGGACTGCCAGTGCGACACGCCAGAGCCGGTTTCAGGCGCCGCCGCCGAGTACGACCGGTAATAAGAGTCAAGTCGAAAACTTGTCGGCGACGCCGTTTGATCAATGCTGGAGGGACGGCTCGGGCGGGCCGTAACTGACGGCTTGGACGGGCCGTAACTGACGGCTTGGACGGGCCGTAACTGACGGCTTGGACGGGCCGTAACTGACGGCTTGGACGGGCCGTAACTGACGGCTTGGACGGGCCGTAACTGACGGCTTGGACGGGCCGTAACTGACGGCTGGGACGGGCCGTAACTGACGGCTGGGACGGGCCGTAACTGACGGCTGGGACGGGCCGTAACTGACGGCTGGGACGGGCCGTAACTGACGGCTGGGACGGGCCGTAACTGACGGCTCGGCTGCGGCGGTCTGCCGGCTGACGTCACTGTCTGTTACGTCACAGTCTGTGACGTCCCCCCCCCTCCCCCTGTCACCCGCAGACGCCATCTCGGCCAAGCTGCAGAAGGAGAACGTGTTCACGATTGCCAAGCGGAACGTCGAGGGCCAGGACATGCTGTACCTCTCCATCAAGTTCATCAACGGCCTGTGGGCGCTGCTGGAGATCAAGGTGGCTCCGGGCTCGTCCAACATCACGGTGAGTTTTAATGAGCGCCTGGGGTGATGGAGATAGCACTCAACGGGCTTATCACACTGTGACAATCACATACCTGTTGACAATCACACTGTGTTCCATTGAAGACTATTGGATTATATGAATGTCAATTAACTGGGGATCGTGATTCTTAAGTCTGTCTACTTTATGGCTGAATTCGTTTGAGCTTTGAATAAGATTGTTTAACATTCAGATATAAGATGAAAGTCTCAGTTTTAAGATTATTAAGTAAATAATAATGCGAGTAGCCTGCTGTGTGGTGTTATGCTTACCACGATGAATGGCCGCTGGACTGCGGGCTCTGTAATAAGCCGCCGGCGCCCGCGACTGGCCGCGGTCTGCCTGTGCCGTTAATTTCTGGCCACGGCCGCTAACCTGCGCCGCCGTGTTACAGCTGGCCATCAAGTGCCGCACGTGCGAAATTGCTCCGGACATCAGCAACAGTGTTGAGGCCATTCTGCGCGCCTGAATGGCCCCCAAGACCCCGGCGCCGGCGCTGTTGCCGGCCGCGCCGCTACCCGGCGCTCCGGTGCTGCCGGCCGCGGCGCGGTCCGGACCTCCGGTGCTGACATCGTGTCGTAATTTGTTGGTCGCGGTTATGTTATCTCCTCTGTGAGTATGTGAAGACGAAGAGAACATTCCTGCGTTAGCCCCATTTGGTGAAAGCGCTGCAGAAAACGGAACTGAAATCTGAACCGCTCTCTCGGAAGAGGCTAGGCTGAGTGTTAGAGTTATTTATCATGCAGGGCGTCGCTGGTAGCCAACCGATTATATTGTTTAACGCGAGCATATGTGAACGTTACACAGTGAGCGGGCTCATTTATAGGCGGAATGGTGGCTTGAATTTGCTTTATACATTAGAATGAGCTGGCTAAGTTCGGTGGTGTATTCTGTAACCCGCACGGCGTCTGTATCTGTCCGACTCTGTATTATCTGTTCCCTGTATACGCGCAGAGGACGCCGGTGCGGGCGGCCCGTCCACCGTTTGGCGATATTCGTGTGTCCGAGCTGCCGCTTGTGATCCATGTAGTCAAAGGGCCACCGTCTGCGGGAGCCTAACTGGTCGTTGCTGTTCCAGCCCGACGTTCTTTGATCACCAACCACTGCTGATGTGTCCCGCATGGATGATTGCACGCGAAAGCCGCCGAGCCGGCGCCGCCGTTCCGAAGCGGCTGTCACCCGTGCCGGTGGTCGGGCGAGCCGCCCGTTCCGGCCGGTCTCTGTGCGATTTCTCGGCCGTCAATGTCCAATAGACCGGAGCAGAGCTGCGGTGCGTTTGTGAGTGACGGAGCAAACCGACGCGGCGGAGAGCCGGGCTCGGCTAGCAGTATTGACGGACTGGGCCCGGGCCGACCGGCCGTCTGCGTTTGGGCGGCACGTGCCCGGCATCGCCGCCGCCGAGCCGCCGCCGAGCCGCCACCGGTGACGAGGTAACTGTCTGAGACGGCGGCGGACGACGGCCGGCGATGGCCCCGACGGTCGCCCGGCCGCTCTTATGGCCATGGCCGGCCGCCGAAACTGCCCGGCCGGCGGTCCATCGGGCTCCAGGGGCTCTCCAATGCACGTGCTACGTTACAGGAGTCTGCTGAGGGCGCAGATGGAGCCTCGTCGATCGCCGCCGGGCGCCCGCCGAGCCGCGCTCGCTCGGCAGAGTGCGGTTGGACGCCGCCCGCCTGACAAGTTAAGTGCCGTGAGCGTGGCGAATCTGCGCCGGTAAAAGTTTGATTAGCCGGCTATTTGTAGGAGGGATTTGATTGGTGGTCTGGCGTGCCGCAGGCCGTGCATTATGAACATGTCGCCGGCGAAATGCACGGCTCCCACCGGGAATAGCCTCAAACTTTGTGCGACGCGTCGGTACCGAATCCACTAGACATGAGCGGCGAAATGTCGCCGTGGGCTCTTTGTCGGCTACACGATTCACAGCCGGCTTTATCTCAGGAGATAGTCGAACTCTTTGTCTCACGCCATTGAGAACGCGGACGGGACGGCAGCAGCTGACAATTCCCGGCCGTCTCGCCAGCTGTGCTGATGCTGTCCGATCGGCCGGTAGATAATGCGATTCGGGCTCGCCGTCAGTTTAACTCAATTGTAGCTTTTGCCGGCGAGGCAATGGGAGCTGACTGGTCGAGCGGCGTGTTCGGGTCCGGCTTTGTCCCATGTCGACGGCTAGGGACACGGTTTCTGCGTGGTGGGCTGCCTCAGAATTCGGTCCGATGCTAATGACATTCAGCGCTGACAGGACACCCACAGACCGGCACCAGAGCTCAATGAAAGTCGGAATTAAAATATCGCCTTCCGGGAGCGGATACGGGTAATTACCTTGACATCGATTTTATGCTGACTGAAGCAGAAACTGCCGAAACGAGAGGAATCCCGATCAGCTCGCAAATGGCTAGATAGCTGCCAAATGGGAATTTAATCCTCAATAGTTAGATGACTTATGGGGTGGTGCAGTTAAGCGTTCATTCGTCTGTAAAAGCTGGCTCGCGGGAGCGCATTGAACGGGGCGGGCCGGACGGGCACCGAGCGGCTGAGACAGGCGGTGAGTGGTAGACTAGCCCGCATCACAGCTGAGCGCTGCGGCACAGTATAACCTCCCGGGTTCGACGGCCGGCCGTTCAGAGAACCCGACACGAGGTGCCGCCCACAACGCTTGAGGCCTCCTAATTTATCCACATATAGATAGTACATCTAAAATCACATTTACCTAGCAGGACAGCTAATTCATGCTTTGGTCCAAGAGGTCCCGAGCTGACTGGATTCGCATGCCTTGCTCTTTTGGTTTGTTCTGGGAGTTCAAGGCTTCCAATTTCAATGCTGCAAGTGGCTGCACGAGCTCTTCATGTGAGTAGAATAAGACCATTATAAGCATCAAGAAGTACAGTTGGCAGTGTTGCAGCTGTAAAGGTATTGGAGACTCTACCGTCTCCCTAATAACATTATGTGATGCTTGGGTCCCGTATAACGTCGATCCGTGGAACTCTATGTGACTGGATTCTCGGGACGTGACGATTCACTGATCAATCAATATCGGCGCAGTCACGCCCAACTCACCCCTACTGTCTGCGTCATATGAATTTTAACATGTTTTGGCCTCTCTTTTCGTCCGAGCTATTTTTGAAACCACGCTGCGTGTTATTTGTAGACGCGATCCGAATGGTCAATGACGATGCGTCAGTCACTGTTCGCTTTGGCTGCTGACAGTTTGCTGACGATTTGCTGTCGATCCGGTAATCGAACGCAATAACATTTAATGGAAGGCATGGAATTTTCGGGGAACATGATGAAAAGATAGGTTTATTTCGGTTGTTGGGGATAATCCGTTCATAGGCATAGAAGCAAAAGACCGATCATTTATCATGCAATTTGAAGTGAACAGGCCGCTCTGCTGCCGCTGAGGCTCGCCGTGCCATAGTCGTCGGTTCAGCGGACGGAGGTCCTTCATTCAGCCGGTCCACCCTGATGGCACGCGCTCGGCCAAATGTCATGGGCTCCCACACGGCTATACGTTCGCCCACAAGGCCTTATTGGATGATCTGGGGACATGCAGTTCCGCGTATGTCGGCCCTCCACACGTGTGATGAGGTGTCGCTTCCGCGGTGTGCCCCAACTCCCCCGGATGTGGGCCGCGGTCAGAGTCGTTATGGCACTTTCGTTGCGGACATCGTACGATACGCCACTGACATCGTAATGCCGTCAGCCGAGCCCGGCCCGATGGGAATGGCTCGTATACGAGCTGGGTTGGCCGTGGCGCGTGCTGCCATTTTCTGTCACCCAGCAATTACCGGGTGCCGTCCAACACACTCAGGACGCGAGCTCGCTGGATCACGAGCGATTGCCGGTCATTGTGATATTGCTCGGACGAGGGAAATGCAGTCCGTCAGCGTAATCCTTGTTCAGTATATAATTGGGGGTTGTTATGTTGTATCATCCGATGATAATGGCTCATTCTTTTGCGACATGGGCAGAAAGTAATTGTGGCGCCATTTGTGTTTCGTGGTAAAACTATAGGACTCAAGTCGCTTTCATGCGTACCTATTGCGTAATGCTCAAGACTGTCTTACTGCGTACAGGTCATTAAGAAAACGTCTCATCTTATGCGGCTCAATGTACCGTGCGTTGTTATATCCTACGTTCACTTTAGATAAATCCAGCGCTCGGCTGTTATTGTGACAGAGCCTGCCTCTGATGTTACGGTGTTAAGTGCTGTTCTTTTTTTGCGATAATATTTCGGCAATATTTGGCGTTACAGTTTAGTATACGTCCCCGCCTTGGGGCAGTGTTTACCTAGCGGCGCTCAGGTATTTTGTGGTATAGTCTAAGCGGCGTTCGAATGTGTTGCGGTACAGTCTTCCAACGGCGCTCGGGTGTGTTGCGGTGCAGTCTACCTAACGGCGCTCGGATGTGTTGCGGTACAGTCTACCTAACGGCGCTCGGATGTGTTGCGGTACAATCTACATAACGGCGCTCGGGTGTGTTGCGGTACAGTCTGGCTAACGGCGCTCGAATGTGTTGCGGTGCAGTCTACCTAACGGCGCTCGGGTGTGTTGCGGTACAATCTGGCTAACGGCGCTCGAATGTGTTGCGGTACAGCCTACCTAACGGCGCTCGGATGTGTTGCGGTACAGTCTACCTAACGGCGTTCGAGTACTACGGTACACCGTGCAGTTCGAGCATAAGAGCAGAATAACGCGAGTATTCCAGGTCAACAATGAGAAAACTGCATCGAATGAGACCAGATTTCACGATATCTACATACAATGTATTTTCATGCTCACACCCACGAATGGCCTCACACCGCCCCACTCGGGCCTTGTGTCTGTGCGGGGCGAGGGCAGATTTATTATGGCGTATCGTTTATCACCCCGCGGCAGCGGCTCTATCATAGCGGCACTCGGACTGCCGGTTGAGCTAGCTCGGTCATCCCGTCCTCTAGCCGGGACGTGACATACATACATTTTATGCCGGCCGTAGCTCACAGCGTCACGGATAGCTTAAATATTGCAGACCTGCTTCACATAGCATCGTAGATATCCAGTCGCCACATTTATGGTACTTCAAAAGATAAGTGTCACGAGTCGCCGAAGGAATGTTGGCAGTTCCCATGAAGATCGTCCGCCGCGGACATCATGCAAATCAGAGGCCGATGTACGAGGTCGCGACGGTCGGCGATGGCTGCCATTCTCATCAGTCGTTCTGCTAACTACGACAGAGCTCATCAGCTCGGTCATTTGTAACGCGATTCCAACCAGAAACCGGGCGTGGGCGGCGCGTCCGACCGCAGTCGGGTCTTCCTTCGAGTTTCTGGCCGTCGACAGGGGTCAAGTCCGGCCTCTGACCACCGACAGTGGGTACGTCTGGCCCCCGGTCAACGACAGGGACTTTGTCAGATCGCTGAACACTACAGCAGCAGTCGTGTCTATCACTGATCAAGCACTGGAAGCCGCAGTCCCTCGCTTTTCCAGCACTGGTCACCCGACGCACAATTCCTACATCAGTCACCCGACCCGAGCGGTCGGCTAGACCCTGGAACTCCCAGACAGCGCGTCGGGCGTCCGCGAGAACAATTCAGAGCCGTCGTGCTCTGAATACGCCCACCGACCTCGCCGGGAGTGGTTTGCGATCATATTTCACGTGCCGCGTCACAGTTCGCTCGGCGGCGGCAGCCGGGACCGTCGCCGAGGTCGGCCGGTGACGTCAGCCCGGCCGGGTCAATCCGAGGTGACGGTGACTGATCGGGTCGGAGCCGCCGACGCACGAATATCACACATACATTACGGCCAGCCAGCCGCCGGAAAACAGCATACGACACACTCAGGTACAGTCAAACACCGAGCGTTTCGCGATCTCCGGCTGTCGGGTCGCTGCAGCGGGCGGCGGCTCACCGGAGAATGCTCTCCATCAGCACGCAGGCCAGCAGGACGGCCAGCGCCGCGCGAGCTGCCGGCCTGAGACCCCGTGCCGCCGAGCTGGCGGCCTTTCTCCGCTGGACGGCCGCCACTGTGTCGCCTGGGACAGCAGATCGATGACCCGGGTCATTCAGCAGTCGGTACCCAAGGTTAATGTCGCGCTCCGGGGACAGCTTTACAGCCAGGTTACCGCCCATGGCGTTTGAGAATCACCGCACCACTGCGGCAACGAGCATATCACGTGTGCGGTCTCTGGCGGGCAGTTCAGACCCACTGCACCCGGTCACCCGCAACAAAACCTGTCACGTGACTCGCCCCACCGGCCACGTGACCTTTGTGACCGGGAACTGACCTTGTGACACGAAGACGGCGACGCTGGCGGCCCGTGCGGTGCCGGCCGTACAGGTGTAGTTGCCGCCGTCGGAGAGACGCACGTCCCGTATAGTCAGGGTGCTGGTCGTCTTGTGTGGTGAGTGTCGCACGCTCACCTGGGATGGGTGGGTCAGTCAGGGTCAGACGGGGTTATATAGGCAAGGCTCAGAAGGTTTTGCATTAGGATCATACAGTATCTGACTGGGTCACACACGACACGGGCTGGGTCACACAAGCTTAGCTAATTTCATTTTTCGAGCCATATTTGGCATTGAGTTGCCCCGCTGAGCCACTCCGCTGTAACTGTGGTTCCCTGTGAGTTATACGGCCCATAAGTAGTCCCCTGTCGGTCGGTCGTGTGAGTCGTCCGGTACCGGTTCTTACCTTCATGTCTGGCCGGAGCGTGTACGGGTTGAACTCCTTGCCGTTATGGTGCCACACCACTAAAATGGAAGACGACACAACCTGAAAGAACAGAGCAATGCTTAGCAATAATGCTCATACGCCATACAGACTTTGGCTGTGCAAAAGCCCCTTTTCTCAAGCCGTCAAGATTTGATCCACATTTGTAGCAAGGAACTATCGTAATATCCAGACAAATTATACGGTGCTTAACTTGTGGGAACACTGCAAGTATTGGTCCTCGATTTAGGAGCTTTGATAGCCACGAGCGCAACCATCAGTCCATCATCCACCACCGAAATCCTGAGCCCAGTACCCGCTGCTGGATTGATTCTGCGCTGAAGTTGAGCGCAAATATTCGCATACAAGTTTTATTTTCTCGCGTTCGGTACCTGTGTGCCCGCTGTCCCCCACTTGTTCGCCGTCCCCATATAGCCGGCCGCACACTCACCTGTTTGACGGAGCAGGTGAGGCTCATCGAGGAGCCTCTCTCCACGTGGTACACGCCACTGCCGTGGATGTCTGCCACGGGCTGTACCACGTGCAGGTGTACCAGCTGGGCTAGCCGGCCGGTGCTCGTCGAAATCTGCAGACGACGGGAGATTATAGTGATGGTGACGGACACGGCCGGATCGTGACGGTGACGAGCAGGGTAGTGACGGGACATGGAAACGTGACGGACTCTTGACAATAGACATGACCGGGTTGTGTCGGATATTGATACGGGACACGGTCGGACAGTGACGGATATTAGATGCCCGACATACTCGTAGTCAGGCAGTGACGAAGGTCAGGCGGTGACGGGGCTTGGGATTAGACATGGTCGGGCAGTGACATTCACAGGCACGCGATAGTGATGAACATTAGACATGAGGCAGCCCCCAAAATGCACAACCCTCTGTGTGGTGTGATAAGGTCCAGAGTTGTTCAAATACCTCAAGACCTTGCAAGAGCCTCTGTACCCCGATGTGACGTTTCCCGACCCCCCCCCCCCTGCTGCTGATACTCGTCCTGTCCCCAGTTGACTCTCTCCCTCTCCCAACTGATACCATCTGCCCCATGTCTCTGTTTGTCTGTCTGTCTGTCTGTCTGTCTGTCTGTCTGTCTGTCTGTCTGTCTCTCTCTCTCTTTCTCTCTCTCTCTCTCTCTCTCTCTCTCTCTCTCTCTCTCTCTCTCTCTCCCTGTCTCTCGCTCACTCTTTCTCTCTCTCTCTCTCCCCAGCTGACACCCTCCCTCTCCCCACCTGACACTCGTAGAGCCCTCTGTCTCGACTTCGCACGTGGCTGATCTTGAGCACCCAACTGCCCACCACTGGGTCGTGATAAATGTGAAACCGATGGTCGTGAGTGAAGCGCGTCCTTCCGGAGGTCAGAAGATGCCAGTCGCGCCGCCGGAGCCACGACACCTGCCGGGGTCAAATGAGGTCAGCGGGTGAAGTACGCCTGCTGGGGTCGAGTGAGTTCAGAGGTGCAGCCCTAACAGGATTCAACTGAGGCGCCATGGCCCACGCCACCTTTCGAGGTTAGCCGACGCACAAAATTATTAAGACGTAATACAAGGTCAGAATTATCGAGAAGAGACATTTCAGCCTTCATGTTATCTCTCAGATATTTAATGAATGAATTATTTTTCATAGTCCCTTTAGGTCCAAAATACATATAAAAACAATACCAGTGCGTAGTCGAACAGAAGCTTCTGTCCCGGACAACAATTATGCTACTTAGAGAGGTACTCTTCGAATCATTACGCAAAGGTCAGGTCACACAGGGCCATTATCCATGCCAATTAATGCACGCTGACCACGCTGACACATTGGACTGGTCACGTCGGGACATTCCGCCAATTAATACCCCCACCCAATCACCAGCAAAGGTCAGGTCAGACGGAGACATTAGCCGCATCAATCACTCCTTCGTATCACCCGCGGTGGCAGGGGTCGGGTCAGTGTCTATCGCACCTCGGCGGGCCGGTCGAGCGGTCGACTGGGCTCTGTGCAGTGCAGGAACGCGGTGCCGCCGAGCTGAGCTGTGACGTTGGAGATGGCCGGCTCTCCACCGGAGCTGTGCCACAGACGGCGGCTCTTCAGGACCGGGTCGGGCTCGATGCGGAACCCGCTGCCGCCCAGCTGACTCCAGTCGGCGTCTGTGAAATGCAGATGGTGGGACAGATTGTAATGGTTAACAACACGTAAAGGCTAACAACACAACAGCCTCTGAGCTTTATTTATCTTTGGTCTGAGGCATATCTATCGGTGGTGGTGTCTCATGTCAGAGATGACTGCGGTGAGGCTAGAAATGATCTTTACGTGCCAGCGCAGCTGACGTCAAAAACTTCTCAGAGAAACTGCATTTCATGGCATGTGCCTCGTGCCGAGCAATAAACGACAATAACTGAGCGTCAAGCAAAGTCCCTAGGCCCAAGCAGAGAAAGGATATTTTTACAATTATGCCTTTTGCTTTGCTTGGCGGATTAGGTGTAGAGGAATAGAGCACTGAATTGGACATATTATGGTTTTCCTTTCATAAATATGCAAGATATTACAACAAAAATTACCCGACGTTTCGTTTATTATAACTTTTTCAAGGGTAATGAAAAGACACACATTTATCTACGAGAACATGGGATGTGTAACAGCGCGGGCAATTCTTCGTAGTAACACTTCCTGTCTGCAAACAGGTCACAAAGAAACAATTCACAAATCATAATCTCTCCTGACTAAAGATGCGGCTACAGAAGCAAGCCTAAAAAATCCATTTGAAATATTCAAAGTTTGACCAGTAGCGATAAATGCCGCCTCTACAACTTTTCGCTGAACTTTGGAAAAATTCCTGTCGACACTTGTAGCCCCTGTCCAGTTAGGCAGATGCCCTTCTTCCTCTGCGTGAACAACAAAGGCGTTCGAAACTCTATGATTGCGCATGTCTCCCTTGTGCTCGCGAACCCTCGTTTTTAGGCCCCTTCCCGTTTCCCCGTAGTACACGCGTGGGCATCCACCGCAAGGAATTTTATATACTACGCTATCTCTGTTTGACTCTCTTTTGTTTCGCTTGAAAATTCCGCCTATTTTCTGTCCTCCTTTTGCAACAATGGATAGGGCCGGGCCCACCAGCTTTTGTACCTGTTCAGTAAGAGGGGAATAAGGGGCTATCACCGACAGTGTATTCTGCGCGTGCCTTTCAGATACGTCAGCTACCCTAGTGTTGGATTGAGACCAAATCCGTTTAGCTTTGTCCCTGAGGGATATGAGTTTGGCCAAAGGGTATCTCAGCTGTAAGAATGTATTGGTTATGTAATCAATTTCTTCCTGTGGCAGGTCTTGTGAGCAAATTCGAAGGGCGCGCAAGAAGAATCCGATAACGACCCCGGACTTTACCTTCTGACTGTGTCCCGAGAAATAATGTATGAGGTCATTCCTATTAGTGGGCTTCCGGTAGACCGTGAATTTAAGTGAGTCGCCCGTCCGTAACAATAGAGTGTCTAAGAATGGTAACCGGCCGTTCTCCTCCTCCTCGACAGTGAACTGAATCGCAGGATCCACTAAGTTCAGTTCCCGAAGTAAGTCCGTAAGGTTAGTGTCTATGGGGACACAGGAAAGTACGTCATCGACATACCTCACCCACAGGTTATGTTCTCCTAAGATACTCTTGTAATGGTCCTCCTCCATTGTTTCCATGTAGAGACAATATTTAGACTCTATTGTTACGGACGGGCGACTCACTTAAATTCACGGTCTACCGGAAGCCCACTAATAGGAATGACCTCATACATTATTTCTCGGGACACAGTCAGAAGGTAAAGTCCGGGGTCGTTATCGGATTCTTCTTGCGCGCCCTTCGAATTTGCTCACAAGACCTGCTACAGGAAGAAATTGATTACATAACCAATACATTCTTACAGCTGAGATACCCTTTGGCCAAACTCATATCCCTCAGGGACAAAGCTAAACGGATTTGGTCTCAATCTAACACTAGGGTAGCTGACGTATCTGAAAGGCACGCGCAGAATACACTGTCGGTGATAGCCCCTTATTCCCCTCTTACTGAACAGGTACAAAAGCTGGTGGGCCCGGCCCTATCCATTGTTGCAAAAGGAGGACAGAAAATAGGCGGAATTTTCAAGCGAAACAAAAGAGAGTCAAACAGAGATAGCGTAGTATATAAAATTCCTTGCGGTGGATGCCCACGCGTGTACTACGGGGAAACGGGAAGGGGTCTAAAAACGAGGGTTCGCGAGCACAAGGGAGACATGCGCAATCATAGAGTTTCGAACGCCTTTGTTGTTCACGCAGAGGAAGAAGGGCATCTGCCTAACTGGACAGGGGCTACAAGTGTCGACAGGAATTTTTCCAAAGTTCAGCGAAAAGTTGTAGAGGCGGCATTTATCGCTACTGGTCAAACTTTGAATATTTCAAATGGATTTTTTAGGCTTGCTTCTGTAGCCGCATCTTTAGTCAGGAGAGATTATGATTTGTGAATTGTTTCTTTGTGACCTGTTTGCAGACAGGAAGTGTTACTACGAAGAATTGCCCGCGCTGTTACACATCCCATGTTCTCGTAGATAAATGTGTGTCTTTTCATTACCCTTGAAAATGTTATAATAAACGAAACGTCGGGTAATTTTTGTTGTAATATCTTGCATATTTATGAAATAATCATCACATTACAACTCAACATGGTTTTCCTTTTAGAGGTAATCCTTTTCAATTACATACTTAAACCGGCTGCCATTGTCACCATGATGTATTTTAGACCAACCTTTTTTTTACATCGGTTCACCAAATACCCGAGATGGCCAAAGGCAAAGTTTTGCTCAAATATACCTCATGAGGGAATTTATTTTCAACTCAAGCATCCGAAATGCTTGATGTTATTCAACTCATTCTGTTGTTGCCAAATGTTGAATATATGTTTTGACCGAAAAGTTATTATATTGGTTATAACATTGGACGCTTTGCAATCATTTTTATATTATCCATGCAACTACAAGACGGGACATTCGTGTACCGTTACTTCAAAGACCGTGGAAGTAATTGGACTGATACAATATGCGAGACTGTCGGCCGGCCAGCGCTCCCCGGGATACACTTTGACACTAAAGGATTCGAAAATTGAATTATGAAGGAGGCACAGACGTGACTAGAATTAGGGTCGTAAAGCTTTCTTAGTAAGATCATAGAAGAACAACGTTAGAATGTTTAAATTGTTATTGATCTAGATCAATGAGGGAAACCACAGATCCGTGTTCAAATGTAACCGGTGGCTTGAGATTAGCGAAGACATGAAATACCCGTATTCAACTCAATTGCAAAGTAGGAAATATAAATGTAAAATATTTCAATAGCGTTCATGGCAGCGATATGGCCATTGTTGTCTACCAAATGATTTCATGATTTATAAAGAGTGCGAAAATTCGTGGTTATACAGTATACACAAACACGAGGGTTTAATTGCTAGCACTATAACAATTACCTCCCTTTTTACTGGCCCTCCAAGTCATTGAATGACATGTTCAGGTTCCTACTGTTGGTAGTCGTCTGCCATTATAGCGCAGTGCTGCATAAGTGGAACAATCTGCTAAAGCCACCTGCTCGTCCACAATGGGAATCGTAGCCAAATGCATCCATATGTCCTCAGTAATTATCCTCATCACATATAGTTTATGGTCGATGCTTAACGTCAGGTGCTGTGAATGCAATGGCAGGGCGAATGTAGCGCAGTGGTGACTGGCGGGGTGTACTTTTACGGGGCGAATGTAGCGCAGTGGTGGCCGGTGGGGTCCATCTTTTTACGAGTGTCCACTCACCTGCCTGGTTGAGTACAAATGTCACAAAAACTATTGACATGATGACTTGCTGCCTCTCGTATCTGAAAACCAAACAAAATGGCTCGTTAGATTATGCATAAGTCTTTCATTTTACATGACAGCACTATCTCAACATTATAAGCAACTATGATAAAATTTGCACTGCACAGTACAGATCAACACATAGATAATTCGTGCGACGTCATTATTGCAAGCAGCTGTAGTTGCAAAATATTGACTAACTGCAACCAGACTGTGTGCCCATATGAGCGTCAACAGTGTAGGTGCCGAGTGCCTATACATCAGCTTGCCAATCAAAGCAAAATATATAGCACCTAGTGTGCATGGCTCACAACAATTCAACACGTCACCACCATCATTTGTTTGCCCTTCCGTGAGCCCTGTTTGTGCCGGACCGGGCGACCGGCTCGGTGTCGGGTCATATCGGGGCGTCCGCCGCCGCCGGCCAATCGACGGAGACCGGTCTTCTATATGTGGCCGGTCAGAGGGAGCGCGGTGGACGGACTGCCCACATTGAAACCGACAGGCCCCCGGGACACGTTCTGAGACCGTTATTAAAGACGTCACCCTGGCGTCTGCGTCTTAGCGAGTCAGAGAGGCGCGGAGGCGGGGATGAGACTGAGCGAGCTGGATCGCACAGCGCGGGCTTTCAGGCATCTGCAGAAGGAGAAAGAAATGGATGCGACAGGAAGTCTGGAAGCCTCCGTGCAGTCTGTCTTTATTTCATGGAAATTATGACACATGACTTAGACGAACGAGAAGTCAGCAAGCATTGTTTAACTCAAGATATTGCACATAAATTTACAATGCGATGCATCATGTCCGCATGCAATTATATCAACGGGTCAGTTGGTATATCTCAGTCTGCGACAGTACAGACGGCTGCATTTCGTAGCGTGACTGTCGGCTGCTGTATTGACGGCACGTCAGGACGCCGGCCGTTATGGGGTCGAAGAATCGGCTGTGGTCTCACCGTGTAACCGGCGACAACAATGGGCGGCTCAGGGCGCTGCGTGCGCGCATTGTTGGCGATTCCCAGCGGGCGTGACGGCTCGAGTCGGCTGTGCGGTGAGGCCGCGAGTCGTCAGACACCGGTCGATGGGACCGGAGGGCGGCTGATGGCCTCATCAGGGCCACTCTCCGGCCGCCCACGGGACTCCGACATCACACTGACGTCAGACGTCACCGCGCGTCCGGCTCACCCGTCCGGCCGTCCGTCTGTCCGTCTGTCCGTCCGTCCGGCCGTCCGGCCGTCCGTCCGTCAGTGATCCCCGACCGTCACCTCCAGACGGCGACACGCAATCGATATTGGAGTCATCCGGCATGGCTCATAATGGCTGGAGTAATGTGTCGGATTCTCGGAGCGCTCTACCACGATAGATTTGGCTCGAATTGAGCCGAGGAATGCTGCTTAGGAATGGATCGCGCTCGATGGATTTCAATGCCACATTGAGCAGGCACCCAATCATTGCCTAAATGAACGGCTAGCGAAGGCAAATTGATGTTCGCTGGGTATGTTATGTAAATTTATTGAGTCGGGGCTTAGTCATAGGCGGTGGAAGAGGGGAGGCGCATCAAACCACGCAGCCGAGTTAGCGACATGGAAAGCAAAATATGATTGGGTACCTACTTCGTAGAACAATATCGGTGTGACCCTTGGCCCGTATCGCTCTTCTTACCGTGATATAGATGACGAAGTTAATTTTATGAGGATTGAGGACCAGATAACACGACCTCATATTTAGGTTATCAATAGCCGTTTTCACGACGGTCATCTGGTACACATTCGGTGCACATTTGGTGCAGATTAGGTACAGATTTGGTCAAATTAGGTTCAGTGTATCTCTTAGAAGCTATCAGCTAGGTTTGCACTAATTGCTTATATGCCTCCTTTGTCATATTATCAGAGAGCATCACCGATTAAAACACTGAAATAAATTCATAAAATGAGGATATTTGCTTTAAAAGAGATTAGGTGCAGATTTGGTCAAATTAGGTGTATTCGCCGGATAGCCCGTCGTGAAAACGGCCAATAATCTTTCAAGGAAAATTAATTTTCCGCATCATCAGAATCGTTTTAGGGATGACTGCCTTTATCATTACAATTACCGAAGAGCATAACGAGGCAGCTTATTGTCCACACAGCCGCGCGCACCTAATGGTTTCGTAGTATATTGGCAATAATAAGTGCGCTATGTGCACTATGACATCGATGTATCGTGCTTTATGTACTCCATGCATGATGAAACGATTACCATAAATTGCGGCTCAGGCAGGCAAAAAACAGACGGGACCGTGGCGACATATAAGTGCAGGCACCTGTTTTTTAATGATTATCATACCATGTCTAGTATTCCGTGACCGTACAGTGGCAAACATAGATATAAGCGTTTTCTTCATTAGGATGAGCAAAAATGATGTCTTATATCATCATTGCAATGCATATTGGTCCCTCATCTTCACCTCATGTCCTGCGAGGGATAGACTTAAAAGCTAGGGTGGAGTGAATCAGAAACGTGTGTGCTGTATCTTGGCTATGTGTAACGAGCTTTTGTGTTTTTTTTTTTTTTTTACTTTTTACTGCTCCCTTGTGTATTTGTAGCTCGCAAAACCAAATTCATGTAGACCGGGTCAAACTCAGTTCAGAACTTTTATTCGCTAAAATATCATCGGTATTCTAGGAGCTGCGAGCAAGTTGTCAAAGAAAATCTTGCTGACTATAACATTCCCGGAGCGAGTCGTCTTCAGTAGCTACCCTGAAACCGGCATTCATAAAAGCAGTGTGAGCCGGAAAAGAGATGTTCGTTTAAAGTCCTCTTATCTGGTGCTCTGAAATCAGGTCACGTGATCCCAAAACTGAATGGCGCTAGTGGTGACAGCATACAAAGCAGGGGTCAGAGCCGGCACTTCTATTCATTCCAGTGAGGTAGCGATTGTAGAATAAAGCGTTATCCGCTTTTCGTAGCAAGTTAACGTTACATGCATTTTGTCAGCATGTCATGGGTGGCTAAAGCAAGATGCACTCCTTGCAAGGTTAGATGCGTCACTTTTGCAATGTTGACCTTGCGTGACGTCATTTATGACGTCATCAAGGTCATATTAGTTTTTCGTCAATAACTCCCGATCAAATTGAGCTAGCGAGTCGGGAAAGCCACCAATGGACCCAGGAAGACCTGCCGAGTCGAATGGCATGCGACATTACCTCTTTCGACCAACTTCGTGACCTGGGGGTGCTGACCTGACCTTGACCTGAGGTCAACACCCTAAGTTGACCTGAACCGAACAAAAAGTATATCATTCGACGCTCCTGAGTGAGGCAAACACGATGCTGTCAAAATCGCGGCTCTGCGGCCGTTTTTTGCGACGTTGTTCACCAAAAACTGAACCGTACCTTGGGTCACTTGGCCTGACCTCAGAGGTCACCGGTTGACCTAGGACCTTAAAATCGGGTACCAATCTCTGCGTCTCGTAACGGCGCACACGCTCGTTTTTTTCGCGACGCGCTAGCTCCACCAGGGGCGAAACGGCGAGGGGGGTCGTACCCCTCGGCCGGCGCGTATGTAGAAAACCAATAGGTCCGGCGAGAGTTAAAAAAAAAATCCACGCACCCACCGTGTGACGACAGTCGTGCCTTCGTATCCGGGTGGCGCCGGCACAATTTGTCACCAGGGAGGCCGCAAGGTGATATATGGTCGCGGCTATGATTGCCACGCATTACATAACACCCCCTAGTCCACCGGCGGGTTAGAGTATGATGTATGCTGGCTCATTCTTCAGCCCAGAACAGCACAGTCGTTTATTTCACCCGGGTGTTGTCGGAATGCAAGACTTGGTGTAGTGACGAAACGTATCACATTTACAATGCAAATGAAGTCGTGCAACGTATATGTATTGTACTAACTACCAGTATAACGCCTTTTGGGGCGACTAACGGAGCGAGCGAGAGGGTGGGCCTTGCACGTGCGAAATTGCGAGGGGGTACCTCCAACTGACTTGTGCACGGCACCCTACTAGCCGGTCTCTAGCGATGTGCCAAATTTGAGCACAATCGGCCCAGCCGTTCTCGAGATCTGGAAGCGGCACCCTGCACGTGCGCACGTGCAAAATGGGTCCCATCTGACTTGTGCACGGCACCATACTAACTGCTCCGTAACCGTATACCAAATTTGAGCGCAATCGGTCCAGCCGTTCTCGAGATCTGGAATCGACCCCTGCACCTTTTCGACCCCTGCACCTTTTCGTTTTGCACGTGCATAAGGAGTCACCCACATGCATCGGAAATAGTCCAATGCTTGGTAGCAGGAATGAAGCTACCCTACAAAAATTACCGCGTGTAAATCGGTTAAGTGGTTGCTGAGATATAAGCGTCGCAAAATCGTGACCACGGCCGCCGGCCGGCCGCTCATACTCAGAAATTTCTAGTTCTAGGATAGGAAAATGGTTAGAGTACAATATCGTGTTTGATCACAGATGATGTCTTTAAGCATTTAGTCCAGGTCGGGTCAGGTCAGGTCAGGTCAACCAGTAGGGGTCGTGACGGGTATTCGTAGTACGTGTCAACCGTCTCTGACAGCATCGTAACATGTTACGAAGGCACCCAAACTACTTCGTAAAGGTTCAAATGATTTCTAAATTCGAATTCAGCTCCAAAAAAACTAGCCTAGAAACATGTAAAAATCGAAAAAGTGAGCCGGGGTCACCAAAGGCCAATGACCTGACCTGACCTTTAGGTGACCTTGACATCCACCCTAATGCATGGGAGCAGCATCAAATCACATGTTTGAACATTTGAAATCACGAAAAGCTTGCAAACGCGCGACTAATGTGAGCCGACATACGCCAAATCGCGACTCCGGCCAAACATGGCCTCGGAAAGTAGGTCACAGGTCAAAGGCCATTTGGGTCAGGGTCATGCAATTTTCAGGGTAGATGTAAATTTGATGTATGCGAGAGTACTGAAAGTTGTGTCACGATCGGCCGCTTTTTACGCGAGTTATTCGAGAAAAACCTTAGGGGAGGGTGCCCCCCTCTGTGCCCGCGAGGGTTAACCCTCGCCCGCACATGGGGGGGGGGGGGGTTGCCACCCCCCCCAGGTAGTCTTTCTGCTCTGCACTCAACATTTTTAGAGCTAGAAGGCTGATTTTTCGTATAGCTGCTCCTCTATCCTTTCTTGATGTCCACTGAAAATTTCAAGTTTCTGTGACTTTTGGTTTCGGAGATGAAACCTTGTTTTTCAGGTCATGTCATGACCCAAATGGCCAATTCTCGACATCTTGCGTTGGCTATGGGTCTTGTGAGCTTTTGACACCTTGATTTCGGCCTTTTTTACCAGTCTTACCTCCCACCTATCATGGAACATGTTGTTCGACGATGTACAGATGTCAAGGTCAAGGTCAAGGTCAACTTAGGTCATCTAAGATAATTGCGTTTTAGGCAAGCGGAATTTACTTTTTGTGAAGTTTTTTTACTGCATTTTTGGTAAAAGCTTCTCAGATCATGATTTCATGTAATATGGACACATAAACAATCGGTGCACACATCAGTATACACACAGACACACACAGACATACAAACACATATAATTAACCTTGACCTAACTTGACCTGAAATGACCTCAGCAGCAAAAACCTGGTCGGGTAGTGTGAGAAAGAGGTTCTAGCTGGCTTGGCACCAGAAAACGGCATCGTCATCGGTATATGATAAGCAGCACACTTGATATCAAACGGTGACCCAAAACAGCAACATTTTTTAGTTTGACCTGACCTGGAAGGTCAATGACTGACCTGAGAAGGTAAAACTGGGTATGATTGGATTCGTCTCTTCCCAAAGAATCTTTTTGGTCTTTACCGCTAAGCTCTATCTCCAACAGGAACGAAATGGCGCGGGGGGGGCAACCCCCCCCCCCATGTGCGTTCTAGGATGGGAAAATGGCATGTGCGGGCGAGGGTTAAGCCTTGTGCCCAAAGCATCAGTGAGTACGTCTATCAAAAATTGGTGTTAAATACAATCCTCTACGTTGTGCTTTGCATCCAGTAAACGCAACCCGGCCCTCAGGCCCCATAACAATTAAAAGCGACAATGTGGTCCTCATGTAGCGTAAGTGAAAAGTTCTGCGCCAGAGCACATTCTTCCCGAAAGTAATTTTCTTCGTGACAAAGGTAAGGCCTAAAGCTTAAGCTCGATAAAAGTTCAACGGCCCAATATCTTTCCCGTCGGCATTCAAGGTATCTCAAAGTGATTTCCATGTGTATGGATCTTCACTTTGGAGCGTCCGTGAAACATTCAATTAAGTGCGGTAAAGTTCACCTGAGGGGACCATAAATCACTAACCTGTGAGAGCGTTCCATGGTGACGGCGACACGCCACCGCCGAGCGAGCCGGCCCGATGTTAATCCTTTGACACGTGCCGGCTGATGTAAGGCGATCGGCGATCCGCACCTGCCATGCGACGCTGCACGGAACACGACTGATGGTATTCCAAACACTGTCTGAACTTCCCCGGCACGTCACGTAGCTCACGGCATTTCAAACGCCATCCAAACTTACCGCGGCACGTCACAGAACTCCCACAGTATTTCGGGCTGTCTCAACTTATCGCTGCTTCACCTGCTCTCTCAGCCCACTCGGCTATTGAAAGTCTCAGCAGAAATCTGGGCGCCCAGTTCCTGATCTGATTTCTGATCCGCTGTCTCGTCAGATATATCCGATGCTCAGTGTCTCAGCGGCTGCCTCTGCCAGTCAAAACTTCGGCAATGGCTCAGCCGCCAGCTGGCGTAAATGGCTCTCAGTTTGTTACAATCACGCTCTAACTACCGTTTTAATGCCCGTTACAGCCTCTCGCAAATATGATTTGTCCCTTTCATTCTCATCTTTAAAAATTCCATCACCGATCCAACTGTAGTTAACGTCCAACTATAGCTGACTTAAAACTATCGTACTGTTTACTAAAACATTGTTTTTTGATAAAACTTAGACACCATTCAACATCATCTTAGTTGCGTCGATAACAAAATAGGATGTGTTTATGTTCCAGGAAGCTCCTGTCCGCGTCTGTTCTCCAGCGAGCAGCCAGTTACGATTCTTTCCCGATCCCGCACAGTCTCTCTGTAGCTATTCACTTTCCCTCCGGACAGTCCCGTCTGTCTCAGCACCGCTCCTTTAGACAGTTCCGTCACTCTACCCCGCACAAATCCGCTACCAATCTCCCCCGCACTGCACCGGTGACTTGTCCTCTCGTCCCGGACCGGTCCGACTTCACACCACCTCGGACGACAACCGACACACCACTGACCGGGGCCGACCCGTCGGCCGCCGGCGCAGGCGCCCCGCCGCGCTTCCCGGGCTAGCAGGTATTCCGACAGAAGCACAGTTTGCTCACACAGCCGTGGCGCTAACTCGATCCCCTAAACAACTTCATCCAGCGCGCTTGGCGCGAATAGAACAGAGAATGGCGGCTTTAGCCTGAGCCCGCACGGTCAAAACAAATCCGCGGCGGTCGTGCGATTTGATATGTGGGTTTGTTTGCTATTCGTCGAGCATCGTGCGAGCGGTTATTATGTTTGAATGTCCGTGCTATTGCGATGTAGTAGTTGTGGGCATGTGTCTGCCCGACCATGAATAGTGAGCATTTTATGCCAAGCTTATTTCATAATCCTTTACCTTTTTTGAATGCTTCGGTTACGGGACATAGTTTTCATACTCGTGTTTGGTCGCCGATATGCAATTGTTTCCCCATTAAATCGGCTCACTTGCACCACCTAAGCTGAACAGGGGACAACTGCAAAGAGAACCCTTAACCCTTAAAGGGATGGATCGTATAAATCACCGATCGATCGCACATATCATCGTCAATTTTGGCATTCCTTGTAGATAACCTCTTTGATACGTTGTCTAAATATTGGAAGTCCCAGAGCTCTCACGTCAAGTCACAAAAATGGCGTTTTAACCCTCGCCGGCCGAGGGGGGGGGGGGCGGGTGCCGCCCCCCCATAGGGTTTTTTCGCGATAGCTCCGAACACGCTGGCGATAGAGAGCTGAAACTTGGCATACCTGACCTTTGATCCAAGCCGCATCTTTTGACACCAACCGCATTTTTGGGTCAGGTCAGGTCACTGACCTATGACGTCATAAGTGAACCTCTGCACGGTCTTCAGATGTCGCAACTTCGCAACGCCCTCACTGCCAGAGGAGATGTCACAGGGAAATGAAACTTGCAGGATCTAGTATCAATTATGAGTCCCACAACTTGTATATCTCGGATTTTTCCTAAAGGTCATATGAGGTCAGGTCATTTTCGTGACCTCACCATTATAAGTCAATGGGGAAAAATGAAAACTGCTATTCTGGCGCCGGGAACGATCTCCAACTATCTCAAGCACACAGAATCGTGATTTGATGCACTCCTTGCAAGGTTAGATGCGTCACTTTTGCAATGTTGACCTTCCGTGACGTCATTTATGACGTCATCAAGGTCATATTAGTTTTTCGTCAATAACTCTTGATCAAATTGAGCTAGCGAGTCGGGAAAGCCACCAATGGACTCAGGAAGACCTGCCGAATCGAATGATATGCGACATGACCTCTTTCGACCAACTTCGTGACCTGGGGGTGCTGACCTGACCTTGACCTGAGGTCAACACCCCAAGTTGACCTGACCCAGACAAAAAGTATATCATTCGACGCGCCTGAGCGAGACAAACACGATGCTGCCAAAATCGGCGCTCTGCGGCCGTTTTTTGCGAAGTTATTCACCAAAAACTGAACCGTAACTTGGGGCACTTGACCTGACCTCAGAGGTCACCGGTTGACCTAGGACCTTAAAATCGGGTACCAATCTCTGCGTCTCGTAACGGCGCACACGCTCGTTTTTTCCGCGACGCGCTAGCTCCACTAGGGGCGAAACGGCGAGGGGGGGTCGTACCCGCCCCCCCCCCTCGGCCGGCGCGTATGTAGAAAACCAATAGGTCCGGCGAGGGTTAACCCTCGCCGGACCTATTGGTTTTCTACATACGCGCCGGCCGAGGGAGGCGGTTACGACCCCCCCCCTTCCCTCCTCGGGGGGGGGGGGGGTCGTACGACCAAAATAATATTCTGACAAATTTCCTTAGAATTTGTCATGACCTCTAAAGTCGAACAAAAAAAAAAAAGAGAGAACGGCCGATACATGTGATGGTACCTTCTCGGTATAAACTTAGTATATCCTGCAGCTCATGCAAGTTTAACCCGCGCCCTGATGGGGTCTGCCGTGCAACGTGGTCTGATAGGGGGGGGGGCATTTTGCCCCCCCCCCCCTAAGACCTCGAGAACCACACAACATAGCGACAAGCGGCAAACGGCGTTGGATAGCCCCAACGGGGAACTACCTTGACCTGACCTTCACCAAAACATAATCTCAACTGACCCCTGGGCTGCCTGTCCAACATAATCGCATTAATCGCGTCCAACATAATCGCATAATCACAAAAATGGACCATAAAACATGCATTACATGATATTTTTAATTTTGTGACCCCCAGTGACCTGACCTCTGTGACCTCACCTGGTATCAGTGACCTCAAATAGCAAAATATGTGTTTGACAAACATTTCCCCATCGATGATTTTCAATGAAATGCATTTTAATCGATGTTACAACGCATTTCTTAACCCTCGCCCGCACATGCCATTTTCCCATCCTAGAACGCACATGGGGGGGTGGTTGCCACCCCCCCGCGCCGTTTCGTTCCTGTTGGAGATAGAGCTTAGCGGTAAAGACCAAACAAATTCTTTGGGAAGAGACGAATCCAATGATACCCGATTTTACCTTCTCAGGTCAGTCATTGACCTTCCAGGTCAGGTCAAACTAAAAAATGTTGCTGTTTTGGGTCACCGTTGGATATCAAGTGCGCTGCTTATCATATACCGATGACGATGCCGTTTTCTGGTGCCAAGCCAGCTAGAACCTCTTTGTCACACTACCCGACCAGATTTTTGCTGCTGAGGTCATTTCAGGTCAAGTTAGGTCAAGGTCAGTTATATGTGTTTGTATGTCTGTGTGTGTCTGTGTGTATACTGATGTGTGCACCGATTGTTTTTGTGTCCATATTACATGAAATCATGGACACAAAAACAATCGGTGCACACATCAGTATACACACAGACACACACAGACATACAAACACATATAACTGACCTTGACCTAACTTGACCTGAAATGACCTCAGCAGCAAAAATCTGGTCGGGTAGTGTGACAAAGAGGTTCTAGCTGGCTTGGCACCAGAAAACGGCATCGTCATCGGTATATGATAAGCAGCGCACTTGATATCCAACGGTGACCCAAAACAGCAACATTTTTTAGTTTGACCTGACCTGGAAGGTCAATGACTGACCTGAGAAGGTAAAATCGGGTATCATTGGATTCGTCTCTTCCCAAAGAATCTTTTTGGTCTTTACCGCTAAGCTCTATCTCCAACAGGAACGAAACGGCGCGGGGGGGGTGGCAACCACCCCCCCATGTGCGTTCTAGGATGGGAAAATGGCATGTGCGGGCGAGGGTTAAGAAATGCGTTGTAACATCGATTAAAATGCATTTCATTGAAAATCATCGATGGGGAAATGTTTGTCAAACACATATTTTGCTATTTGAGGTCACTGATACCAGGTCAGGTCACAGAGGTCAGGTCACTGGGGGTCACAAAATTAAAAATATCATGTAATGCATGTTTTATGGTCCATTTTTGTGATTATGCGATTATGTTGGACGCGATTAATGCGATTATGTTGGACAGGCAGCCCAGGGGTCAGTTGAGATTATGTTTTGGTGAAGGTCAGGTCAAGGTCAGGTCAAGGTCAGGTCAAATTAGGTCAAATTTCAAAGTTGATATGTTTGCATAAGATGAGTATCGAATCGATGCAGCTCGTCACGGGGAGTTCAATGACGGTATTTGTTTTGCGCTACGTGGTCTAGAATCACTAAAAATTGAGTTAAAAAATTTGACGTTATCAATTTTGAACCGTTTTTTCGCTATAACTTGGCCAAAGAAGTAGGTATCGATCTAAAATTTGTTATGTATATCGAAGACCGCAGGGACTATCACATATGTACCATTTTTTTTCGAAAATCGAAATTTTTTTGGATTTTTTTTTAGTTAATTTTTTTTTTGGGGGGGGGGTAAAAATCCCAAAGTTTTGAAAATCCGAGATAGCAGTTTTGTAGCGCCGTTTTTTCTCTACACAGCCACATGAAAAACTTTAAAATTGCTTCTTAACTGTAGATTTGGTGAGCGTTTCAAGATGTCATGTTTTTTGCCCATTTTACTCGAACATGAACTCAGTTTGACCTCAATAACTCCTGACCCAAGGTGACCTGTAGCTTGATATTTTGTGTGAAGGTGTCAAATTGATGCCCGGGAAGGTACCCTAAATTTGGCGGCGCTGCGCGCCGTTTTCTCGCTATTTAAGAAAAACCACGGTGGGGGGCAAAATGCCCCCCCCCCCCCATCAGGGTCCGGGTTAAATCAAATCGATAAACAACTCTAAATGCCGCCAGGGAACCCGGCTAACTAAAACTTATATACTAGCGGTCCAGTAGCGGCGGAACACCTTCAATTAACACACCTTCACCGTCGACTTTTGGTCCCATTCTTTCCATGCAACGCCCATAGGGCTAATGTTAAAATGCCAAAATCAAAGGGGGCACGGTGCCCCGGTGCCCTCCCCGTTCCGCCGCCTATGCAGCGGTCAATACCTAAATCCGTGAGGCTGGTAAAAAGTGAGGGAGACTGCGGGTGCGGAATGATAGTGATCACGGCCGGCGGCCAGCGGTTCTGGCCTCTGGACTCTGGTAAATTCATGCTATGCGGTACAGTATTCTCCAGGCGCTTTCACCTGGTGCCACCTAGGGGCGGAATTGTAAACTAGGTGAAGAGTAAATTCTGTGCCGACAAAGCTATTGTCGGAGAAAGCTTCCATATGTGTAGCCATATTGAAGCGTAATCTGCGCACAAAAGACATATCTGAGTTTTTACCTTGGTTCACTGAACTCTCTCTTGGTTACATATATGCATAAATGCAAGCATAAATGATAAGGGCGCAGGCCGTTTGTTGATTTGACGTAGAGTTGGTTCGACACATGTAAAGCTTGACAGAGGTCTTGAATATTGATGTTATTTACTACAAGCATAGATAACAGTAGAACTACTGTTATCTACTGTTATCTATGCTACAAAGTACAAGATAAAACACGTGTCTACAACGTTACGGTAAATGTTTCATTAATCTGCTTTCGCCCAGATCCTCTCATCACATCAAATTGATTCTGCTGACTTGCTGCTGACTGCTCAGACTGTGCTAGTTTCAGAAGCTGTTTGTGTGACACCTATAAGAATAAAATAAATTGAAAGGAAATTTATAGCAGAGCCATGCCTTCTGTGGGGCCTGGTGGATAGAAGGTTAATTGTAGCTTGGCAGCAGTGAGCACTGAGCTGGATGGGGTGCTCTATGTTGATTGCCGACCTGTGCCCTGTGGTTCTTATTTCTATTGGCATATACTTATTTAGCCAGCTGGTGAGTTGCTAGAAAATGGAGTTTCACGTTAGAAAAGTTTCTGACTGTTTCAAATGATAACAATTTAGTAGGTAGGTACTAGCGAATGATAATTGAGGGAGTTATTTTATAGCAATACGACACACTTCTCGGCTTACTTGAATATCTCAGTATATTCTGGAAGCTTCACTGGTTACCCAGTCAAAATTATCCCATTTATTATTGGTTCATGCTCAATGTTTACACAAACTGTTTATAAAAGCAACTAGAAAGTAGATAGCAGATATTCGAGCTGACAAATAAGTTATAAGTGGGTAGGTTCCCATCCATTACCTAGGCACGTAAAGTAATATTTTTAGTGCAGAATGGCAGAATGACAATTTTTGTACAGGATAAACCATTTGAAGCTGTTTTGCTAGGAAACTAAGATTATGGTAAAACCTTTGGGCTTTGGCCTCGATCTGCCACATGGTATTGCTGTGTGATAAGATCAAGATGCTGTCATATGCTGCTTGTCTGTATTGGCTATTGGCTATTGAGGCTCTCTTGCTCATTTTTACTCCATGGTACAGCTGAATAAAAAGGCACTTATGTGAAATTTTGTTTATTGGTTAAAAAACCACAGTTAAAAGTGATCTGCACTGGGAGACTGCTCTTGATAAGGGCCACAACAACCTCACACACAATTTTGTAGACTCTGACATATGTGGCACAGACACAGACACAATGATTATTTTAGTAATATAGGTACTGATTTATTTTATACCTGATTAGGAACATAATACGCCAAGTGATCAAAATGACTATAAAAGGCAGAAATAGGTTGGTTTAAATGTGGCTTGTAGATTTAAAGCAGTTGTGCGGAATTGATTCTGCATTACAATAAGGGGTCTGTGGTTACTCCTTATCTTAGGCACTCATGTGGATCCATGCTGTAATGAATGTTTTTTATGATGATACAGAAGAATTGATATGAATCATTGCAACAAACTTAACTTATCCTTATAAGATGGAGAGTAGATAACAATAGCCAAGGCTAGCCTATCGATTCATCACTTCAGTTCACCACCTTCTCCTATTTCAGACCTGAGACAGAAGTGACTGCGGTGCCGTCCGTCTGTGCGCGACTCAATCAGCCTCCTTCTCCGCCAGTCCACCAGCCATGTCGGGCTCGGATCGCCTGGAGAACGTGAACCCCCAGATCCACTCCACGGCCGGCCAGCGCCCAGTCACGGCCGCCGAGCTGGACAACTCAGTCACGGACCCTATCGACGCGCGAGAGGTGTTTGACCTGGTGCGCGACATCGCCGACCCGGAGCACCCGCTGACGCTCGAGCAGCTGAACGTGGTGGAGCAGGAGCTGATCGAGGTGGATCCCGCCTCCGGCGTGGTCCAAGTGCAGTTCACCCCCACCATCCCCCACTGCAGCATGGCCACGCTGATCGGACTCTCCATCAAGGTGAAACTGGAGCGCTCGCTGCCGGCGCGCTTTAAGATCGATGTGCGTATCACGCCCGGCTCGCACGCCTCCGAGAGGGCCGTGAATAAGCAGCTGGCGGATAAGGAGCGCGTAGCGGCGGCCACGGAGAACGGACGTCTTCTGGAGGTGGTGAACCAGTGTCTGGTACCGCCCGCAGCCGGGGGCGCGTGAGGACGCCGGCACAGGACAGTGGTGAGGTCGTGAGTACAGAAGAGGAGTGAACTGAAGGATCAGGTGGGACAAGAAAATGTGTGGACAATAATTAGGTGCAAGGGAGTGAGCAAGCACGGCAAAGGGTGATAAATTTGGTATTTTTGTTGCAGGTGCCAGTAATCGGTCTTTGTGATGCATCGCCAGCTGCTATTTCCCTCAGATTGTGAGCGGTTCTGTCCGTGAAAGTCTCAAACTCAGTGCCTGAAGGGTGGAGTGTCAGGTCCGGGAGAGCGACCGGTCCATGAAATGCAACTCTGGTGTAACTACTTGCAAATGACTGCTGTAGTCTGCATTGGCTCATAGCTCAAACTTTGAAAATGTGTAGACACTGGATTGCTGGAAGCAGGATTATCACATTGTAATAGCTGAATGGTGAACAAGCCTTTGAGCAGCGTGTCGTAGATGATGACGTTCGAAGGTGAAGTTTTAAAGTTCCAGAGTGTGATGTGATAGAGGAGTGACGTTATAATACGTGTGTTAGTTCTAGTCCGTGGGTAGTTATGTAACGAACTAGCTAGATCATTATTTAGATAAAGCGTGAATGATACCCCATTCGAGGTACCTTTGTAAATGCGTGACATGGCTGAAGAATCATTATTCCTTCGGATTGTTACAGACATCGTCGAACGGGCAACAGCCATATAGCGCTGTGTGATGATGTGCCAATGATCGGTGGCCCATAGTGACTCGATGGTGCGCCCTGCTGGTCTGCACGTTTTCACACTGTTACCTCGCTCTCTGTCATGTATAAGACCGTGCCTGACCTCGACCCCGGCTCACGTTCAGCCGTCAATAGATACCACTTTGTTAGCTGCGTATTTATGATGCCATTCTTCGGCCGTGTGACTGGATCTGGGGCGACCTCTGTCGATTACCTGGCCTTGGCCTCGGCAACTCACAGTGCCGCATCACTCCGGGTGCCGTTCGCGCCTCCGCAAAGGTTAATCAGACGTGACTCCTGCGGTCTGCTCGATTGAAATGTTTCTTCTGACACTAACGGCTGTGACTCTGAAGTGAATACGGTCGACTTGACCTCTGCTGCGCCGCTGCGACCCGGGAAAACTCAGCGAGCGCACGAGCGGCCCTTCCGGTTCCCAGTCGGCGCTGGTGGTGCCACCTATCGTGTGGTGGCGGAACTAGAGCGGCCGGGGCGGGGTGCGTCAGTGGTACTGCACGTGCTGGGAGCAGCGGACGGGTCCCGGAGCGCTGGGTGAGTGCAGGGCGCTGTGCTGGCACCAGCGAGCTGTGCCGTGCCGCTGGGAGGGATGGGACGGAACACAGTACACCGGTGAGTACCGAGAACCGATTTCCTATTGGGAGGAACTACGAGAGGATCGCTGCTGCTCCGATGTACCTATGTGCGCTAGTTGGAAGACCACATTTTATGTTTTGGCCTTTGAGCCACAACATTTAATGATAATTTCAGTTGAATTTTGAACACGGTAACAGGATTGTAATTCGAGTAGAATACGAGCTAGGGAAAGCTAAAAGCTCTTGCAACGATGTGGCAACGATCTTGTGCTCTTGTGATCGTACGATCGAAGCTCCTCTGATGAGTGCTCGATTCTCCTCGAACGCGTAGCGAGGTCAGCACTGTTATTCTATTCGTGCCGTGCCTCCATACAGTAATGGCACGTGCCTTTTGGCGAGTGGCGACACATTGGCGCCGGCGCTGCTCGGTGCCGGACCGGCCGGGCCGCCGGCGCTGCAGGAAATTAATCCCGAGGTCAGTCCGCTTCGTATCCCGGCCCGGCGGGGTTTATCTGGCTCGCGTGTGTGACGCCGGATCTGTGCAGGTCCGTTACTGTCCTCTGGGATAGAGGGAAGGTGCGGCCCGGTCCCGACTGTACGGAGATGGAGAGGCGGTCTGGAACTCTGGACAGTCCGAGTGGCGTGTTCCGGTGTTCCTGGCTCGCGTTTTGAACAGCAAAACGGATCTGCACCTCTCCCAGAGATGCTAACGGATGTGATGTTGGTTTGCCATTTTAGTTGCGGTTGTGTTGCAGGCTCTCGGCGAATTAATGCTAACTGGATGTCAATTTCTTCCGGTCCTATGTAACGTGATCTGCTGCCCCCCCCCCCCCCGTGGATTGGCGAACCAACCGGTAGGTGCCCGGCCCAGCCCGGCTCGGACGTTCAACTGAGGGCGTTCCTTCCAAGCGGGTACTCGTCCCGTGCTGCACTTTCAAATTGCCTGTCGTCAAGGGCTTAGCCGTTTGCAACGGCACGCCATGCCCAAGGACCAATGCAGAGGCCGCCGAAAAATAATCCTCCCTTCGTGAATTCGTTTTGAAGGCAGGAAGACGGGGAGAACCAAACCACAGCGGTAGACGGTACTCGATTCATTTTTATTGTTGATGAATGGGGCTAGTTTGTTTGCACGCTATACCTAATGTCATTCAGGTACCCATTTATCGTCAAATTTTAAACCGCAACTGAATTCGAACTTTTAGATGAGGCATGGATGATATAACACTGGATTGGTGTCTCGTGGAAATTAACATTGGGATCCGCGACATTGGGATCAGGCCTGCCATCTAGCGAGAGAATTATCGTAAGTTAGGAGCAAGCCGAGTAAACGCCATCTCTCAGCATTATGACACACGTGGGTGTGGTGTGTTAGTTGGCTTGAAGTGCATATTCCCACGAGTTGGAGGTAATCTTACTGGACCTGAGACGACAAAAAACGTCTTAAATGCTTGAAAGCCAAAAACGTCAAGCAGCCTTTAGGTAATAACGAAAATAAAATGCGTAAGACGGTGTGTATTGAAACGCCCAGTCCCATCGGCTTGTACGACCTTTTATATGGTCATTTACTCACAATGGTACAGCAGTTTGACAATATGTCACTTACATATTTGGTAGGCTTATTCCTTCTTCTTCGAATTTCGCCCGATTTTCTTCATCTTAGTTAATGTTACGGCACGTGTCACGTGCCAACTTAGGGGTGTCGAGATTGTTCCACATAAAGTAACTCCGCAATGGCTGGGCCAATTACAGTAAAACTTCGTCAATAGTTAGGCACCCAGTGGCCAATGCATTTCCATGTGTCACTATGGGGGTGCACGTGCGGGGTGCCGCTTCCATATCTCAAGAACGGCTGGGCGGATAACACTCAAACTTGGTACACAAATGTCACATCGATGCTCGCACTGCATTGATCAGTGCTTACATTGGTGCAGAGCTGTTAGGAAAACGATGAAACGAGATGCGTGGTGTTTATGCCTTTCTTTTCCAGCAGCTGATTGATTCGCAACAGGAAATCCTTGTTTGCGAAGGCTTCGTCTCCCTTTTCCACCCCTTGTTTAAAATAACATTAACAATGTACGAAGAACATCACACATAAAAGTTGTTTTAGGCGGCTATCTTGGGCCAGGGCTGCGAAGTTGTAGTCAGAGCCAGCAGTTCTGTTCCGACTCGGAGTCGGTTGATTTTTAAAAGCTGTAGCCCGAGTATGAGTCGAACGTCACCGAAAAGCCATCAACTCCACAGACTTACCGGGGCTGCAGAGTCGGAGTCAGAGTCGGAGTCTGTGTGAATTGACAGTTCTGCCCGGAGGAGTCGGAGTCGATATGTGGATACCGGAATCGGAGTTGGAGCCAAAGTTACTGAAATTTCATCGACTATGCACCACCGGTTGGGTCATTTTCATAGAGCGTCTTGAATGACATATTGAGCGGCAATGACGTTAGCAATTCCGTTTAAGTTTTTTCACTAGACTTAAAGATAGTACTTACGTTCGTTTTGTTCTTTGATCGGACAATTTGTTTGATTTTAGGCCAAGTAAAGACTCATGTGAAAAATAGCGAAAACGACACGTGCTGGCGAAGTCTCCAATAACTCCCTGTTTCACGATTTAATGAGGAAATAACATGGAACTGCTTATCTTATTACTGACCCTGCACATAAATCTATTAATTTCTTTGCTTTTACTGACATATAAAGACATAACCTTTTGAAAAATTGCACAACAAGCCTGCTACTACACCACACTCCCGTGTGTCACAATGCTAATCAGCGGCGTTCACTCGGCTTGCTCCTAACTTACGACAATTCTCCCGCTAGATGGCAGGCCTGAGCTCAATGTCGCCAAAAATTGCGAAGACACCAATCCATTATTATCTCATCCATGGATGAGGTATCTACTTTGCACTCCCGAAAAATAATAACTGTACACATGATTTTTAACGCGAGAATCGTTCGGCCTTTCTTCTAACGCATTATGCTTCGATTTAATTTCTTAGTTTTTAATAGTTCTGTCAGCAAACCTCGTCGATATGTAGTCGGGATTCGCATTTCCTTTTTCTTAACCGGTAAGCCTCTTGTCACGGATGATGCCATTCGCTCTTTGATGCGACCGCAGGGCGTGTCAGAATGGAGCGCCGATAAAAATATTGCAACCGTTCACTCTTTTTAAAAGTTACAGTACGTAGGTATCTGGTATCGTGTCACTCTATGCTATCATCGCTCTTCCTTTTCACCGTAACCTACAGCGAGCCGTAAAAAAAAAAAAAAACGGACGGCTACGGCTCCAAATGAAAAATACCTCGACGGCTACGCTACGGATACGGGTTAAGTTTTCAAGCGCCTGTGGCTCCGGCACCGCTTCTGGGCTGCACTGAAAGCAATTTAACCCAAGGCCGGCGAGGAAACCGGTGTTTCACGGGTACCCCTATCCGCAACCATTTTTAACCACCCTCCCAGGAGTAGGGCTAGGTCCCATTGCGGTGTAGTCGTACTTGCTCTGAGCGGATATAACCGCTGTCAGCGAACATGTCCGCTGAGAGCAGGGACGACTACACTGCAATCGGACATTACTGTACTCTTGGGAGGGTGGTTAAAAATGGTTGCGGATAGGGGTACCCGCGAAACACCGGTTTACTCGCCGGCCTTGGGTTAAATTGTTTTCAGTGTGGACAATAAAAATGTACCGGCCATGGGTTCCGGCTCCGGTCCCTCTCATACTCATAGGTAGAATTCAATCAATCCATATTTATTTGAAATGACAAATGATCATTGAACAGGCTGGCTAGACGTGAGACAACAACACGGTCGCATTCCTCAGAATTTGATATCCTTGTAAACTGACTCCCGCTTCGTGTCGTGACCGAACCGGAGTAATTAGAGGAGGCGAACCTGCAGAGAAAGATGACGCCGCACCGTCCCGCACGAGACGTTCGAGGAATGTTATTTCCTACCAGACTGTAATGCAAAATATATTCAAGACGGGCATTTGGTGGATTATATTCCCCCGTATAGGCTTCCACGTCCAACTTTTATGAAAATTCATAGTTTTCCTTCACAAGAGACTAGAGAGCAAATTTAACAGCCATTTTTGTGTGAAAAATTGGTTTTATTTTAGACGCAGCGCATTTCGCTGAACAAACACCTTGCCCTTTTATTTCATGTGGCGCTGTGGTCGTAGGAAGATATAATCGCTGACCACAATTGGCAACCAAGGTGCGTCCCATGCGGTCAAAAGGCGATGCAAGCCTTCCAACCTTTGACTTCGCATCTCGCGATAGAAACCCACTTGTCATGTGATCACTGATTTATCATCATAAGAACATGAGCCCTCATCAAAAGTTACCTAATTGCCCATTCGCGGTTACAAGTCGAGACGTCTTATTTATGAACTATGCAAAAATTGCTTGATGCAAAATACAAGTTATTTGGCACTCCTAGCTAATTCGTCAGAACGGTTTCGTCTTTGATCGTTACCTGAATTTAGCAGAGTTGGTGATATTTGCGGAAAGACGTTTAATTGACGCTCTTGTATTTCAATCTTGCTATAATGACGCTTGACATCACTTACAGCCGATTCCAATACTTTAAATTCCGGGACACGGCCTCACCTATTCCAACCGCTCTGGCTCGGTTCCACAAATGACACCCCTCGGCCCTCTCAGAGGCCATGTCACCTCCCCGCACCCACCCAGCCATGAGGTACCCTGCCTGCTTTCCGCTGCAGTCAGCTCGGACCGCGGTCGAAACTCTGCTGCGTCACAGCACGTCTTCCGTCACCGGCAGCCGAGCGGCCGCCGCGACCTCTCGCGCCGCGCCTTGACCCCGCCACTGCAGCACGGGCAGCGCCGGCTGAAGGTTGTGACATATATTCCCAGGCCAGCCTCGCCGGCCGAGTAGTGCTGAGGCCCTGCACGGATCGGCCGCGAGGGCCAGTTTCGACACAGCGCGAGAGGCAACGCCCGGCGGTGCTTGTTACGGATGATACACGGAAGCGTGATTAATAATTAACGTTTTGATAGGAAGGTACGCGGTTTTTACTAC